AATTGATACTTTATTGTATTATATTGAATGCATATTGCTCATGAATATAATACATGTTTAATTATGTTATTATCTGCATAATAAGTTAGTGCAATAAATAATTCAAGAATGTTGTGTTTAAAGCTTGCTATATATCTAACTGTAATATACTTACTATAATAATGCGTACTACCCAGTCTCATTGTGCTTAATAGCACCCAAAGAGTCAACATCACATGGTCCCCCCTGGAAACTATCGTTGCTGAATTTCAAGTGAATTCATCATGATGGGCCCAATTGACTTAACTTTTTCATTCTCACCTATCATCCGTCACTGGTGCCCCGCCCAATTAATATACCAATAGTGCAGGCGGAGTTACTATTCCATTATCATTCATAAAAAAAATGGGTAGTGTATTATCTAAATAAATCTATGTATCTCATCTGTTTGAATAAAGAACAATTATTTATAATATAAGTAGACACCTATGATATTCACTTACATTAATTTAAATATCTCTTTGATTCTATAAAATTTAATATTGATAAATACTCATAAATATTTTAAATATAGTAAATGTGAATGTTTGTAATAATAGATGGTGTTTGATACTCTTTCATGCAATCGCTTTGGAATCAAAATTTTTGTTTGTATAAATAAAATCTATTGGCTGTATTCTAGAGACTTGTCCGTAAATTGTTTTTTTAAGGCTGTTGATTTCTGTATAAGTAAATAAAAAAAACAAAAAAAAATTATAGAATAATTTTGAATGAGAAATTTAATAAAGAAAAATAGCTGTAAGTGAATATAAATATCTTTTGTAAATAAGAAAGGTGCAATGAAAAAATAAAATGTTTGGAACCTCAAATTGGTACTATTTAATTAATATCTAATATAAGTAAAAACTAATATTATATAAGCAAAATTTTGGAAACAGGTTTTGGGGGTATATTTACAAAAGGCTGAATATTTAATAAGTTATATTGTTTTAAGTATTAATAAATATAAATTATGGAAAGGACTTTATATTTTAAACAGCCAGGTACCTAAACTTACAGTTTGTCAAAAGATCAGTGCCTTAATTCATTAAGATGCCACAGCTTCATTCATATTTGGATCCATATTAAAGTATATTCTATTTTTTTATATTTTTAACTATTTTAAAAAGGAGCTTCTTAATTACAAGATTTTTTTTTTTTGTATGTAATACCTTTTGTTAACATAGTTTTAAAATTTTCTTCACATATGGACATATAATAATATTGACAAATTAAAATAAGTTCTCTATTGAAAACCTCATAAATTATTTATAAATATTCAATTTAAGTAGCAGATAATTCTTATTTGAACTGAAAGAGATTTATTACAATATAAACTTACCATCTAAACTCTTGCCACGGCGGTTATTGGCATATAAATTCAAATTCTTTCCTAAGTACCAAAGTTAGAGATCCTGTAGCAACACCCACTGGGGTCAGCCAATGGACCTTATAGATAATCCATTAGTATTACTGAATCTGTAGCTTTCTGTAATACTAAGTTTACCATCACCTCTAAACAATAATAGAACTTATTTGTACAAACATAGAATTAAAAAAATTAAGTAACCTCAAAAGATTTTAGATCATAGATTTTAGACACTTTTATATAATTTTTAATGATAATTCAAGTAATGTTACCAATTTAAATATATATAATTGTATAGAGTAATTAATTCTGAACAGCTAAGTTTTTATTTATTTTTATGCAAATTTATTTTGCTTAACTTAAATAGCAAAAATTACACAAAAAGAGTACACATTGTAGTAATAAAAATATAACAATTTTTCTTCTTAACATAGCATTTATAAATAGCATATAAACTATATAGAATGTGTATATAAAATGCTATAAAAAGTTGAACATTTACTTTTTACAACTAAGTACTTTTTTAATTTTTCATAATTTTTAACACCTACCAACAAAACTGATTTTTAATTATCTGTTTTGTAAGTAAATAATAATTATCATTTCAACATTTATCTCTTTATTCTTATTATCATTTACAAAATCTAAGTGATTACCCAATTAGTATGAATAAAATGCGAGAAATACTTACTTCTAAACCTTGAGATATTCGTATATATTTAAGCTACAGCTTAAATAAAGAATAAAAAAATCAATAAAAAAATTATCCTCATACCTACCTAACAGCTGTGACGTCCACCTCATCCCACTCGATAGTAACGGCCAGTTTCAATATTTTCGCATGGCCGCAGTGACCAGTCCAATTCTGCAATAACGCGGTTAATTTCCTGAATCATTCGTGCTGTAGGCCGCTGAGCTGCACGCCCGCTTTCAGCTTACACCTGCCCCAAACATCGAAACTCAAATAACTGCCACATGAGAACAACCAAGAAACAAACAAAAAAGTGCTTCAACCTTCATTTTCCCGCCTTCTAACCACCCGCGCTACCTCCTGACGACGGGCGCCAGCCACTGATAATCTTCAGCCATGTATTCTCACGAAAAGGCTTCAAAAAAGCTCTTTTATGTGAATTCCTCGACATAACTATAGTACATCTATTTTTTGGATGGCAGGAATAATGAAGCGAAATGATTTTTTAACACAATGATAATATAAATCACGCGAACAGGGACAAAATCTAGTTAATATAAAACGCACTAGATTACGAACACAATTTTCCTGATTATTCTTGAAGCCATTCCTTTAATTTTTGTAATGATGATTTAACGACCGATATCACCGCGGTCCACGGCGGAGGAGGAAACTACTGGCATGCCACAACTACGCATGACCGGATATGAAGTTATAGGGACATCTAGCGGGAAATAGACAAAAAATAACTTTATGTTTCAAAAAAAAAATATTTGAATCAAAACAATAGGACCTAGATAAATTATATATTATTTATAAATCTATATTTTAATTAATTTAATTAACTTAATTTCCAATAATAGGATAACAAAATTTTGGTAAAAAAATATGTAGTTGCAATTATGAAACAAAAAAATCAGTATCGTTTTAAAAAAAATAAATATTCCTTAACAGTATGTAAATGATTACTAATTATTAAAATTATATTAGCACGATTGTTTGCTAATCGCTGAATTATTAAATGATTTTTTTGTGACAAAAATACTATTGCCGGATTATTGCTTCTTATAGACTGAAATTAATTTGTAATAGTACTCATAATATTGATTCCTTAATAAATACTTAAAAAAAAGTTTATTAAAATAACTAAACATATTTAAATGAAGAATTATACATAAAATGAATATGTAATTTTCGGCTGTTAATCATTCTTTGCTCATCAAGAGAATTTAGAGCGACATCATGATGGACTTTTATAAAATCATAATATCTAAATGTTGATATATGGAATTGTATTATATAAGGGACCACCCATTCATACTTATGTCCATAGTACCATTCTGTCTATAGGACGATGATTGTTCCATTTTCTATCAGGTAGATTGTTAGCTTGTTTAAAAGGACGTAAACGTGTTTAACTCAGTTATAAACGTTACATTTCTTAGTGATTACTTGTTCTATGATTTTTAATTGGTATCCGTGATCTGTGGTATAAATAGAATAATAAAATTATTATGACAACTGGCAAAATTGACAGATTATATTCGAATAACAAATACAAACAGTTTCTAAATTATGTTTTATTCTAAATAATTACTTATTTAAGAGTCTATTTTGGATAGATATTAATTTTAATAACATGATCCACCACTTTCATTGAAGTTGGCTTCTATGAGCCTAATATCACAACGCAAATTAGAGAATATCCTTGCATTGTGTGGCGATAAAAAAGGATTCTCATAATAGACCTAATTCTTATTAAACCATTGGAAAGAATATGTGGTGTATTAGGCTTAGGTGAGTTTACAATATATTATATTTATAGACTGACACCTTTTCCCTATTGAAAGTTTTTGATAGGTGAAAAATGGTGTCCTCGCCATTATTGATAACGGTATACGCTGGCCGAGGCACCTGTGAGCGATGATGAATGGAATGAAAACAGGTCAGTCAAGCCTACCATAATAAATATCAAGAATTAACTATGATATTTTCTAGGGGGAACCGCGTGAGTCTAACCTAGTTGTACATGTGCTAGCAGTGGGATTCTTAGTCTCCATTGACCCTTTTCCCCCTCTCCTATTGAAGTAGGTATTAAGTCCTGCAAATAAATCTATTTACTTACCTTGTAGATCTATATGTGCAGTAGATTCCTAATAAGACGAGACAGAGTATATCTTTATTCACATCTTTCATATTATCTGGTTTCATCATAATTTCCATCTTTTTGCAGATTTAGTTTCTCCAAGAATAAAAATCTGAATACAAAATGGTAGGGAGATTTGCATGAAGATATATATATATAAGACTCTTCTAAAAGCTACCTATTCCATTAATTCTTTCAAAGGGACAGACAGGCTTAAATCCAAGAGTGACCTGGAATTATGTGTCTTTATTCCATGTCCAGTAAGTGAGGCTTTATTGTCCTTTGAATCTTGATCACCTACTACTTTTTCAGTTAGCTATAACTACAGTTAGCATTATAACATGCTCAATTACAATACAAAATGCCAATCCTAGATACAGGTAACAAAAAAATTTTATGTACTTTCAGTTTTAATACTATTCAATATGAAATTGATCAATAATTTCCTTTAATTAAAAATAATGTGACGATGTGGTAATATTAAATAAATAAATCTAAGTTGTGATGAGTAATTTAAATTGAAGAACATTTTTATTGAGAATCAATATGTATTAATATCTGTCACCACTTTATATCAGGTGGGCAGTCAGCTTGGTTTTGCTGTTGCTAATTAATGTTGTAAAAATTTGTTTCATTGCAGGCAACATGGAATTGACAAGATCTACAAAATGGACCCCAGTTATTGGGTACAACAGCTCAACATTAACAGAGTCTATTTCATACCAGCCAGCATTCAGAAAATACAAATGTGTTTTGAATAGATCTCATCACTGATAAGTCAAAATGCTTAGTTGTCAGATTTGGAATGTTTTCACATAATAATTGTACCAAAAATTTATTTGTTCTTATGACTCTATACTTGAGAGCAGGGGTTTGTATGGCATTGTTAAGTTACATTCTTTTTCATGGGGAGTTAATGGTATTAGATGAGCAGCTTATGAGTTTAGAATTGCCATTTTTATATAAGCAATTGTTTGTCTAACAAAATCATTCATTGTTATCGAGTATTGCCATGTCAATATGGAGTTTATTTCATGTCATCGGTAAACCAAAGATATTATTTTCTGTGGGCAAACTTTCAGCAAGTGTTTTATATATTACAAGTTTACAAAAGACTTATGCAAGAGATTTTATAAATAATGATAGTTCACAAGAAATAGGCGCTTTAATATTGATAGATAGAAATCAGGATTATCCATCAAGTTTATTAACGCCAGCAACATACAGTGGTTTGTTGAGTGAGCTTTTCAATATAAATTGTGGTCATTTAGATCTTAATGTGAAAGAATACAGAAAAAAGGAAAAATGGATTTTGGTTTTAGGAAGAAGATGTTGCTAGCAAAGACCAAAACACAGTGATGACATTAGATAGTTCAATAGATAGCCTCTATGGAGAGATAAAACACAGACATTTCTCAGAAGTTCTAAGTGTGTTGAGTTCGAAAGCAAAGCTGTTGAAAAATGAAGATATCAAAGCATTAGGCATACAAGAAATGAAGCACTATGTCACAACAAAACTGCAACATGTTGCATTATTTAAACAAAATCTAGTCAACCATGTATTAGCTTGCGAAACAATAATATCAGATATGAGTAAAAAATTCGAAAATCTAAAGTGTACTGAAACAGAAATGTTAAATAATCGAAATAAAAAGTCAAATTTTACATTTGTTGATGAGAATTTTGGTACTGATATACATATTTATAATAGTTTGCGGCTAATGTGTCTTCTTAGTTTGACTCAGGGTTTGTCTTATGATGAATACAATTCCCTTGTTAGTAAATATTTGATTGCTTTTGGATACAAGTATCTCTATGTGTTCCATAATTTGGTTAATGCTGGCTTGTTGGTACAACCCTCTAGTCCTAAACTTTCCCTTAGTATTTCCAATTTAAGTGACAGGCTACCTAAATGGCAAAGTGGGTTTCAAGTGACCGCCAATAAATTGAAGCAGCTGCCTCCTCAGCCAGATAAGGTTAGCAAGTCATCTCCGAGTTATGTCTTCAATGGTGGATATGTTCCACTCACTGCAGTTATATGTAACACAGTTTTAACATCGGAATCTCTAGCTGAAATTTTCACTAAATTATCAGCATTGCCAGACCTGAGAGTTGGTGGGGATATTCTTGAAAAATTCAGCAATGGGATGGAGACATTGAATCAGAAATTATCAGACTTAAAACTACAAAGTGACTTGGGAGTATGGGTGCAAAGATGCCAAGGGGTTGGCAAAGTTATTGAAGAGTGAGCCTAATATTGGTAACATATTTCCTCTAAAACCTAAAAGTGTATTTGTGTACATGATTGGTGGTGTAAATTATGCTGAAATAGCTGCCTGTGATCTCGTACAGATTTCAACTGGAAGCAAAATATATATAGCCAGTGACTGTGTGGCAAGTGGCAGAGATTTGTTGGTAGCCAACACATGAATATCATAGAAACAAGTACAGGGATTAAGATCTGTTAATACATTTTCAAAATGTATATTTTTTTTTTTTTTTTTACAACACAGATGGCAAACGAGCATGCGGCTCACCTGATGGTAAGTGACTACCGCCGCCCCTGGTCACCCACAACACCTACGGCATTGCAGGTGTGCTGCCGTATGTGTTATTATGTGTGTAAAATATTAAATAAACTCTCCTATATTATTATACTCATAAATGTGAAAGTCTGTAAAGATGTATGTTGTTATGTATATGTTAATCATGCTTAAACAATTGTATATGTTATTAATTTTTATTTAACGCAGTAAGATAATGTTCAAGAATCTTTTTTATATATTTTAAAATTTTATCAATTTCTATTCATATTCAAAAAATTTAAATAGATTTTTTTATGCTTTTTTAAATCACTATCTTTTTAAATTGTATTGTTGAGTTTAAAATGTTGTTATTTGCTGAGAAGAACCCCACAAACAGCTCAACAGTTACTTTTTTAAATCTTAGTTAACTTAATATTTGTATTAATGTAATGACATGGTCATTTAGCCCGTTCATAAAAGTCACTATGAAATATCTCGATGTTGCTAGAATTGTCAAAGTACCTGTAATCATAATTTTTATAATATTGTATACAATAAAAATATTTTCCTTACATTTCAAAATTTTCTATTTAATAATAGTATTGTAATTTGATTCAATAAAACAATTCAGTACTAAAATATTTTATTATACGGACACTTACAACTATGATATCACAGTATAATAATATGTTACACTTTCACCACAAAGCAGTTAGCACAGTATATAGGCAATAGGCAATTTAAACATTTGTAGTGAAAGTGAAATGAATGGTGAAATGTTCTATTATTTCACCTTTAGCTACTGAAATATTGGTTATAAAAAAAAATTTAAAAGGCAATTTGTCTTAATGTGATTGGTGGATTATCTCCATCTCAGATAGTAAAAAACAGCTTTTACCCATAGATACTGTGGTACAGGTTTCATAATGAGACCGTTATGGTCTTGGCATCACCATATTTTACACAGTTCATACACATAATAATGAAACCTGAATTAAGAATTTAAAAGTACTTATAATATGGAAATTTAAAACAATTTGAGTATTTGAAAACTCATATTCACCGCGTTAATATTTTCGGAGTCGCTTTCGATAGAAAAAAAAACATACAATCGGACAAGTACCAAATTTGATTTATTTTTTAATAGCTACCAGATTCAAAGTCGTGATTTTTGTTTCTGTAAGTCAGAACAATCTCGGCGCTTTACCCACTCGAGTCGGCTTTATTCGACAGTGAGACTTTTGTCTGTATGTTTGTTTTTATTTTTCCGTTTATTTAACGTCTTAATGTATTAACATAGTACACAGAACACAGATTATTATAAGTTTACAATATATAAAAAATATTTCTCATAGTCAGGAATAAAAAAAAAAACTTAGTAATGAACAGTTGTTGCCTTGTATAAAGTGCAAAATTTTAAAGCAGTTATTTATCGGTGACAAAATCTCTCTAATATTTTGCACAATTTTTTTCTCCTGCTGATTGTAAATTTACATTTTTTTATAATTATAATCAAGTGAAAACGTACAAAACGGCTATACCTAGTCTGTTTCAATGGGAATTTAATGGAAATGTAAACAATAGATTAATTAATCAGACCATCGAAGATTATAAAGTATATAAATCTAAAAGAAGAAACATAATAACATATTTAAAGAGAGATACTTTGTACAAAAATCGATTGCTTGGGCACCTCTGTCCCATTCGTGTTTCAACCGTGAAGCAGTTGTGTTTGCATGGCTGTGTTTCGGTTTGAAGGGTGGGATATGGCGTGAATTTACAGGGTACAGAGGAATAACACCCGAGTCCTCAGGAATGGCAACGCATGGAGGGTATCATGAGCGAAACAGTATACTCTGTTATGTCCATGGTACTGCTCATGTCTATAGGCGACGGTTACCACTTTCCATCAGGTGGACCGTCAGCTTGTTTGCCATTCTAAGTTGTATAAAAAAAGATAGAAAAGCAAGACATTAATTTACACAATACAATATGCTGAAAATGGATTTGGCGGGAGTATTAACAAAATATGGTTTTATTATTTTTAAATTTTGAAGTTTAAATTCGTTTTAAGTGTGCTGTACCTGAATATAACGTAAATCAGGTAAATTAACCTTAAAATTGCACATTTTTCATGTAATTAAACTGTAAATATACATTTAAGCACAACATTCCTAAAACATACAGAAATGTTATGTACAAGAATTGGTAGAAAAATACATCTAATTTAATTAAAATAATGTTAGTTAAAAATATCGCCGAATCGAAATTAAATATATAATAAATGACGTAAAAATTCACTATTTTTGCAACTTCAATTCTATACAAGTACACTGTTGTAATCATTATTTTGTCTCGTTTTTGTGTTTGCAATGTTAGCCTGTCAGTACGTAGTACGTTTAGATTATATAGATAGAGTGTGTTCATAGAAATGCTTAAAGAAAACGGGTTAACTTTTTCATACAATTTTCTATTATAAATAATTATGAGTGATTCTTTATAACTTTATTTATTTTGTCTTATAATTTCTCCATATTTTTTTAATGCGTAAACACTTATTTTATTTATTAAATAATACGTCAAGATACATTTTATGCGTAAGTATATGGAATACTAATAGCAGGGAGTCAGTGGATGCAGGTGACTCAGGACCGTTGTTTATGGCAATCTATGGAGGAATATATATATATATATATATATATATATATATATATATATATATATATATATATAGATATATATATTATTGCACTAAAACATACAGTAACAACAATAAGTTAGTAACAATGTTAGCAAAGGCGAACTTATCTCTGAAAGAGATCTCTTCCAGTCAACCTAACACAGTGGCATAGGAAGTAGTAAGTGGGCAGTAGTAGTGCTAAACAGAGGTTAAATAAATAGGCTTATGTCCAGCAGTGGACGGATAATGGCTGAGATGACGATGATGATATAGAATACTGATAAAAAAAAACGAATCAGCCAATTTGCCAATTAGCTGTCAAAAAATTTTCCCGTTTTTGAGGCTCGATCTATCTACATAATCTAAGGTGGTAAGTTATGCTCACGTCTATGGATCAAACAATACGCTGATGTATAATACCATTGATTTATCATTAATTTGGACAGTATTTCTGTGACAATTTTAACCAAACTTGGTTACATTTCCATTATGTTGTATTGAAACAATACCATTAATTTTATGGTTACATTATTTGCGCCAGTACTGAGCAAACTTGTGGAAGTGCTCCACCAGGACCGCCATTACCGCCGTCACGGACATGTCTAGCAGGTTCTGCAGGTAATGGACAGCCTCGTCGCCCAGGTCCAGTCTGCAAAGAAATATATTAAATAATTGAGGCATGACAGATAGAAAGATAATTTATTTGCATTACTTACAGCACACAAATTAAAAAAAATATATATTGCACAAACATTTTTTTACAACACAGGGCAACCCAGCATGCGGCTCACGTGATGGTGGCGACTACCGCCACCTATAATCACCCACAACACCAACGGTATTGCAGGTGTGCTACCGGCTTTTAAAAAGGAATATGCTCATTCTTGAAGGTTACGATGTCATACATACATATAATACAGATACACAGTAAAAAGAGCCAAAAGAATGAAAAAACAAAAAGCAAAACAAAAAGCAAAATTTACCAGAGGGAGACTTTGTACAAAAGTCGATTGCTTGGGTACCTCTGTCCTATCCGTGTTTCTACCGTGAAGCAGTTGTGTTTGCATCGACTGTGTTTCGGTTTGAAGGGTGGGATATGGCGTGAATTTACTGGGTACAGAGGAATAACACCTGAGTCCTCAGAAATGGCAACGCATGGGGGGTATCATGGGCGAAACAGTATACTCTGTTATGACCATGGTACTGCTCATATCTATAGGCGACGGTTACCACTTTCCATCAGATGGGCCGTCAGCTTGTTTGCACTTCTAAGTTTTTTTTTTACAACACAGGGGGTAAACGAGCATGCGGCTCACCTGGTGGTAAGAGACTACCGCCGTCCATGATCACCCGAATGGAACAGAGGTACCCAAACAAACGACTTTTGTACAAAGTCTCCTCTGGTTTTTATGTTTGTTACCACATTACTCAATCAGTTGCATATTTATCCTATAGAAATTTTATCAAACTCGATTCAGTAGCTTAATTTTTAGATCAACATAACTAGTTTTTTTTCAGGATTAAAGTAGTTTGGCTGGGATTCGACTTTGGTATCTTCAATCACATTGCATTGGATTACTACACTACTTACTTTACCGCTGTAATCTATTGGAGTGAACATTAAAAAGTATCTATCTGTTTGTCCAATAATCTTTGTAAATGGTCAATCCGTTTGACTGTTTATAGAGTCTATTGCAGGGGTGGCCAACTTGACTAGATCCAAGATCTACAGTTTACTGACGAAACTTTATGTGATCTACCAATTGCATACTTGAAATCTCAAATGAAACGACATAGTTCATTACACAATTATGTAGTATTATAGTATTTTTTATTTTATTAAGAGGTAAAACATAAAGTTGAAAATTATTCTTAGTAACATTTACTTATTTATATTAATGCTCACACATTACATGTGGCGAATCTTTCGATAGATTAGAAAAATATTATATTTTTTGCCTTGCCACCATCGACTGGACTTATAGTCGCGATCGACCGGTTGGCCACTCCTGGTCTATTGATTAAGCTCATTTTTTTTAATGGATGATAATGGAATGGTAACCCCGCCTGCGCTATCGGTATACACCGGTGAGGCACCAGTGAGGGATAAGTGAAAATGAAAGAGCAGATCATAGCCCATCGTGATAAATTCACCTGGAATTCAGCACGATGGTTTTTAGGTGCAGGGGGGCACGTGGAAGTCGACCTGTCGGGTATATTGCTAGCAATCGTCGTCATGAACAGTACTGTACTAAATATGCATAACACACATACCTTAATTTGTCTTGGACTTTTTTGACCGCTTTGTCCGGTTCCAGGGCGATGTCCGGTACGGACGCGTCCACCATCAGCGAGAATAAATTGAGCATAAGGTTCGCATGCCTGCAATATAATGTAATAACAACATGTATCACTTTGATTTGTTTTTATAAAATTAAACATTACACTAAAGGCAGAAACGATTTATGTGGTCCCGGCATAGAATAGGCCATCCCTTTCTTTCTCGTGGGTGTTGTAAGAGGCGACTGAGGGAGAGCGAGGGATGGGTAGCAGCGTTCCTTTTAAAACATATTGTTATGTGCCATAAAATGAATTTCCCT